AGCAGACGTACTTTGAGTTACTCAGCACTGCATCAATAAATCACAACGCAAAATTAGAGCTGAAGCTTGAACAGATGAGGAGTTATCAAAGTTTAAAAGGTCAATAAACCAAAATAAAACTGAAATATGATCATTACTGTTTATTTCTAATGTTTGTATTTTACTCTGAACGTTAAGAAGCTGTCACAATAAAGTAAACATTCAGTTTTTATTCTGTTTCTGTCATTTGTTAGTTTGGTTGATGGAAATAAAAATCCTGAGAGACTGAAGTCCAGAAAAATGAAATCTGAATCTAAACCACTTTCAACACCAAGGATCTAATTTTTCAATAAAAGAAAGCCATCGGAGAAGCACAAACAGTCCCTGTGGACAGAGCTCAGTCTGCGCTTCCACTGGAACAAAGCCACGGCTGCATTTTTCACCTCTCTGTCAGCAGTTGTGTGAGGACCCAAATCTCAGAGATACTTAAAGCAGGAAGTACAGACTGCACGAGGAGAAATATGTGACACGGACGCTTCGGTTTCTTACCGCCACAGAGGAAGCCAGGTGAAGCAGAAAGGCCACGGACGTCCTCAGCGTGACCATCATCAGCACTCTCATCGACTCGCTGCCCCGACCCTCCTTCTCTGATTAGCCTCTCCGCCTCCTCTGACTTGTCAGCCCTGTCAGGAAGGCTGGTGTTGGGCCATCGCTGCACAGCCGTGGGGGAGCCTCCATCTAGTGGCTGCAGTGACTGAGCCAGCAACACCGACCACTGTGCACAACAAAGATAATGACGTGATCACCAATGAATGAGTCAGGAGAGACATAAATAAAAATGCTAAAATAAAACCATTTCTATACACTTATTTTTATCTACTTCTCTGTATGTTGATACAAAGAGCAAATCTGACTGTATTATCATGATATGGTATGTGTTTCTAAGTAGTTATTCAGTTTTATTCAGCAGCAAACAAACACAAATGTTGTATAATGTGCATGGGTACACATGTTTTATTACTGGCATTGAATTTAACTCAATTAATCATTAAGTGCATTTAAAGTAAACATTATTTTAATTTTCAGCTCATTCCCTCTATTTGTGTCATTGTTAGTCTTCCGTTCCGCACAACGTAACACCGTTAGCTAGTTATATTACTTACTTATATTACAGTTATATTACAGCATATTTAATACATACACAAAAAACAAAACGTGCGACTCCGGTGGGACTCGAACCCACAACCTTTGAATCACCCCTCAAGTGCTTGACTAGAAGTCCAATGCGCTATCCATTGCGCCACGGAGCCACCTGTTGCACAGGTTGCAATGACAGCTTTTTAACATTCTCTTTCCACACGAGACCCTAGCAACACGGCTAATCTGCTAATACTGCGCCAGTGTCCGCTACACAAACAATAATGCTATAAAATAGCACTTTAATGCTAACGTTAGCTTAGCACCGCTGCTAGCTGCTGTCAGCCGGCCCGCTTCTCCTCCGCCCTCTCTCCGTTAGCTCACACGTAGAGGCTCAGGCTCTGTCCTCAAAGACAACTACTCCTCCGACACTGATCAGATTTGCTTCAGCAGTCATAACGTCAGACTGCTTCGCTTGTTTCAGCAGAAACAACGT